CCATCCCCGTTCCCATCCCCATCTCATCCCCACGCTCACCCCAATCTCCACCCCATCCCCATTCTTCACCCCATCCCCATTCTTATCTCCATCTCCATCCCATCCCCAGCCCCATCTCCATACCCAGCCCGTCCTCATCCCCATCCCATCCCACCGCACCCCAAACCCTCCCGCCGACAGATCAGGGAAAGCCATCAGGGCTCTTTGGGGCCGAGAGGAGCTACTTGCCCGATCGGCTCTAGCAGCGCATCAGCGCACGGATCTGCTTTGTCCTCCAGATCCTTGTGGGCAGGTCACGTTTCTGTGCTGGAGCCGGGGATGAAGGCAGCGCCACGGGGTGTTTTCTTGCAAAACCTCCTTTTCCTTCACCCAAATTTCACAGCGGCGGCCGCAGAGAGACCTTCTGCGGAAAACGCAGGGCGGGGAATCATGACCACGGGTGAATTTGCCCTTAAATACGTTGCTTTTTTGGCACAACAGTTGCATTCATCACCTGCAAAGAACGTCGGTGTGAGGCTTTTGGGGTGAAAAGGGGAAAAAAAGAGGAGTTTGCCTTGGCTCTGTAGCTCGGGGGTTAGAGCGCTGGTCTTGTACACCAAGGGCTGTGAGTTCAGATCTCACTGGGGTGTGGGGCATGGCATTTTCCCTGATTTGGGAAAAGGATGAGTGTTTCTCGGTGAAAAGCAGGATTTTCCCAGCTCTGACATGAAGATGGTCTCCTGGGGAGCCAGGTGAGCCCTTTTGGGGCAGAATTCTACGCTTTTCTGTTATCGCCATTTCCAGGACCTTCCATTTCCTTCCGGAAATCATACTTTTAACGACGACAAACCCGAACATCTCTGTTGACAAACCACTTGAGCATCGCGAGGCTTTTCACTTGCTTTTAAGCCGGTGTTTAATTTGCGACACAAAGCCCAGCGGCAGCAGGGGTTAGCGAGGCCGTTCCCCAACAGCCCCCCGCGAAGGATGCGCGCAGAGCTGGTTGGAAAGAGGAGGATTCGCTTCTCCTTTTCCACCCGGGGTGGCTTTCCACCTCTCCTCCCACCCACCCTTCTCCAAATAATCACACAAACGTGGGTGGGTGATACTGGTACGGCTGGAGTGCAAACGCAGCAGTTAAATGTCGAGGCTAAAAGAGGTGCTGGGGGTCCTGATGGGGCGGTTTAGGGCGACACTTGGAATGCTCGTTTTTAGCCTCGTTCCGCTGTCATTAGCCACGCTGAGGGCCGCCTCTGGAGCAAACCCCGCAGGATTCCAGCAGCAAAGGGCACGCACATCCCCAACCCCCTCCCCTTGGACCAAGGTGACTTTCCCTCCTCCCCATCCACGTCTCCGTCCCTTCTCCCCCAGGGCCACCCCTCTGCACCCCTGAAACGGAGCCGAGCTTTGCACCAGGGTCGTTCTTCCTCCCTTCTCTATTGGTTTGGGGGTTTGGGGTTGTTTTTTTTTACAGCTGTCAGGGTGTTAAAAGCAGGTGACACGGCTCTGTTTTGGGGAAAACGAGCGCAGTCTGACCTTGACATCATTTTTCTCTATTTTCGGCCCTTTAGCCGTGTCTCTGTGGCGCAATCGGTTAGCGCGTTCGGCTGTTAACCGAAAGGTTGGTGGTTCGAGCCCACCCAGGGACGAGGGGGAGGGTCTTCTTTTGCCTTCCCCACCTTGATGCCTGCAGAGAGGGAAGATGCTGCTAATGAGCGCTGATTACCCCCAGCAGCCCCCCCCC